CCGGAGAGGCAGGCGGGAAGAGCCATCCGGGAGGAGCGGGAGGGGGAGTCTGCTGAGCTCCCAGGACAGTCCCCTGCCCTACAAAGCCCCCTCCAGCTGCACTAGTCCTGGGGGCATAGGAGGGAGGCCAGGGAGATCCGGAGAGGCGGGCGGGAGGGGCCCTCCCAGACCAGAGGAGCAGGAGAGGAGAGGAAGGTGTTTGCCCCACCCACTCGAGCCCAGGAAGCCCGCTGGGCTCCCAGGTGAGGTCCCCTGCCCTCTGAGACCAGGGCTGGGGGGCACGCCTGGGCCCCTTCTATTCCTTGAGCCTAAGCCCCACCCTGCACATCCCCCAGGTCCTTTTCCAGCCCTGTGGGTCCTGAGCATTGGCCCCGCCCACCACCCAAACCTCACCCTTGCTTAGGCCCCACCCTCCACAGCCAAGGCCTTCCCCCCCTCCTTTTTTTCTTTTCCCTCCTACTCTTTTTTACTATTGTGGTACTCATGTACCTTCCAGTTGTTGATTCATCTATATTTTTATTTTTATACTCTTTCTAACATATAACATCAGTTTTCTAGTCTAATTTTATTTTTTACTTTGTTATTGTTCTTTTTCTTTTTTTTCACACCCTACGCAGCTTGTGGGATCTTGGTTCATGAGCCAGGGTCGGGCCCAAGCTCCTGTGGTGGGAGCTCCAAGGCCGAACCACTGGACTAAGAGAGAACCTCAGGCCACAGTAGAAATGCTACTGTGGAGTAGCAATACTCATATCAGATAAAATAGACTTTAAAATAAAGACTGTTACAAGAGATAAGGAGGGACACTACATAATGATCAAAAGATCGACCCAAGAAGAAGATATAACAATTATAAATGCTTAGGCACCCAACACAGGAGCACCTCAATACATAAGGCAAATGTTAACAACCATGAAAGAGAAATCAACAGTAACACATTAATAATAGGGGACTTTAATACCCCACTTACACCAATGGAAAGATCATTCAAACAGAAGATAAATAAGGAAACACAAACTTTAAATGACACAACAGACCAGATAGATCTAATTGATATTTATAGAACATTCCAACCAAAAGTGCAGATAGCCATGGCAATCAGAGAAGAAAAAGAAATAAAAGGAATACAAATTGGAAAAGAAGAAGTAAAACTGTCACTGTTTGCTGATGACATGATACTATACATAGAAAATCATAAAGATGCCACCAGAAAACTACTAGAACTAGTCAATGAATTTGGTAAGGTTGCAGGATACAAAATTAATGCACAGAAATCTCTGGCATTCCTACACACTAACAATGAAAAATCAGAAAGAGAAATTAAGGAAACACTCCCATTTACTACTGCATCAAAAAGAATAAAATATCTAGGAGTAAACCTGGCTAAGGAGGCGAAAGACTTGTACTCAGAAAACTATAAAACACTGCTGAAAGAAATCAAAGATGACATAAACAGATGGAGAAATATACCATGTTCTTGGATTGGAAGAATCAACATTGTGAAAATGACTATACTACCCAAAGCAATCTACAGATTCAATGCAATCTCTATCAAACTACCAATGGCATTCTTCACAGAATTAGAACAAAAAATTTTACAATTTGTATGGAAACACAAAAGACCCCAAATAGCCAAAGCAATCTTGAGAAAGAAAAATGGAGCTGGAGGAATCAGGCTCCCCGACTTCAAACTATACCATAAAGCTGCAGTAATCAAGACAGTACGGTACTGGCACAAAAACAGAAATACAGATCAATGGTACAGGATAGAATGCCCAGGGACAAACCTATGCATATATGGTCACCTTATCTTTGATAACGGAGGCAAGAGTATACAATGGAGAAAAGACAGCCTCTTCAAAAAGTGGTGCTGGGAAAACTGGACAGCTACATGTAAAAGAATGAAATTAGAACACTACCTAACACCATACACAAAAATAAACTCCAAATGGATTTAAAACTTAAATGTAAGACCAGACACTATAAAACTCTAAACATAGGAAAACATAAGAAGAACACTCTTTGACATAAACCACAGTAAGATCTTTTTTGACCCACCTCCTAGAGTAACAGAAATAAAAACAAAAATAAACAAATGGGACTGAATTAAACTTAAAAGCTTTTGCACAGCAAAGGAAACCCTAAACAAGACAAAAAGACAGTCCTCAGAATAGGAGAAAAGATTTGCCAATGAAACAACAGACAAAGGATTAATCTCCAAAATATACAAACAGCTCATGGAGCTCAATATCAAAAAAACAAACAATCCAGTTTAAAAATGGGTGGAAGGCCTAAACAGACATTTCACCAAGGAAGACATACAGATGGCCAAGAGGCACATGAAAAGATGCTCAGCATCACTAATTATTAGAGAAATGCAAATCAAAACTGCAATGAGGTATCACCTCACGCCGGTCAGAATGGCCATTATCAAAAAATTTAGAAACAGTAAGTGCTGGAAAGGGTGTGGTGAAAAGGGAACCCTCCTGCACTGTTGGTGGGAATGTAAATTGATAGAGCCACTACGGAGAACAGTATGGAGGTTCCTTAAAAAACTGAAAATAGAACTACAAAATGACCCAGCAATCTCACTACTGGACATATACCCTGAGAAAACCATAATTCAAAAAGAGTCATGGGGGGCTTTCCTGGTGGCGCAGTGGTTGAGAGTCCGCCTGCCGATGCAGGGGACATGGGTTCGTGCCCCGGTCCGGGAAGATCCCACATGCCACGGAGCGGCTGGGCCCAGAGCCATGGCCACTGAGCCTGCGCGTCCGGAGCCTGTGCTCTGCAACGGGAGAGGCCACAACAGTGAGAGGCCCGCGTAGCAAAAAAAAAACAACAACAAACAAACAAAAAACAAAAAAAAAGAATCATGTACCACAATGTTCATTGCAGAATTATTTACAATAGCCAGGACATGGAACCAATCTAAATGTCCACTGACAGATGAACGGTTAAAGAAGATGTGGCACATATATACAATGGAATATTACTCAGCCATAAAAAGAAACAAAATTGAGTTATTTGTAGTGAGGTGGATGGACCTAGAGTCTGTCATACAGAGTGAAGTCAAAAAGAGAAAAACAAATACCGTATGCTAACGCATATATATGGAATCTAAAAAGAAAAAAAATGGTACTGATGAACCTAGTTGCAGGGCAGGAATAAAGAGGTAGATATAGAGAATGGACTTGAGGACACGGGGTGGGAGGGCGAAGCTGGGGCGAAGTGAGAGTAGCATCAACATATATACACTACCAAATGCCAAATGTAAAATAGCTGGCTGGTGGGAAGCAGCCGCATAGCACAGGGAGATCAGCTCGGTGCTTTGTGATGACCTAGAGGGGTGGGATAGGGAGGATGGGAGGGAGGCTCAAGAGGGAGGGGATATGGGGACATGTGTATGCATATGGCTGATTCGCTTTGTTGTGCAATAGAAACTAACACAGTACCGTGAAGCAATTATACTCCGATAGAGATCTATTAAAAAAAAGAGAGACTATACTATTCACTGTCTTAATAAGATGACCTTGTAAGTTAAGTATAGAATACACCAAAGATAAGTGGTGATGTTTCCATTATTTCAGGCAAGGGAACTGGCCCAGAGCATTCTCTCCGTGTTCTGCCAAGAGGTACCAGTTTGTAATTTTTATGCTTGTTGTTATTTTAATGGAATAGGAGAGTTCATGGAAAACTATGCGACCCAAGTCCCAAACAAGGACGTAACTTAAACACAGACTAAGCAAAGAGAACATAAATTTGTTGAATTTTTTTACCTAACTGAGCAGCTCACCCTCACAAAAATACCTCTGCACTATAGACTGGAATTTGGGTTACTGAGTACTTTCATGGACCACAAGAAAATGATGCCCTAACTCTTAAAAACTAAAACTCCACTCGCAACTGCCCAGAGTTCAAGTCCCTGTAGCCCTGATGCCCAAGGGTAGAAAGCTCGTTTCCTTCTGGCAACCCCAGGACTGTGATAGTCATCAGCAGCCCACAGCCCAGTTTGTACCACCTTCAAGTACAACCACAGAAGGTTTGAGAAGGCATACTTGGAGCCCAAACAATCTCACAGAAAAGATTCAACACTCCCCACAAGCAAGCCAACTAATACTGCACAGACCCTGGCCTGGTTGTTTTGCTTTGTTTTGTTTTTCTGTACCAATCTTTAATATTGTGGATGCTTTCACAGAAAAGTGTGTTCACTTTTACCTTCTTAATTAATTCCTCATTGCTTAGGGTGACAGCAACCACACTGCGGCATCAAATAATTTAGGTACCAAAGAAGACACATTTCTTTTTTTCATTTTGTTTTGATTGAGACTTTGCCTTATACAGGGTACAACTCTAAAAACTTATATGAAAATAAGATTAAAAAATCAATCTAAAAGCTCTTATCAATATGGGAAAGAGAGGAGGTGACAGGAAGAGAGAAGAAAAGAAAGACAGAGGGAGGAAGGAAGGAAGGGAGGAGAAAGAAAGAAAGAAAGAAAGAAAGAAAGGAAGGAAGGAAGGAAGGGAGGGAGGGAGGGAGGGAGGGAGGGAGGAAGGAAGGAAGGAAGGAAGGAAGGAAGAAAGAAAGAAAGAGAAAGAGAGAAAAAAGAGAGAAAGAGAGAAAGAAAATATCCTAGAATAGCATTTGGCACATAGTTGGTGCTTAAGAAATATTTGTTAAATGAATGAATGAATTAGTTAGGAGTCACATCAAGAGAGAATGATTTGAAAAAACAGATATTCATTTGAGAAGCACCTCCTGTCACTTTAGCTCTCTTCAACATGTTTTCTGTGCCATTCCTTAAGAAATAATACATAGTAGCATTACAAGTTATACAGAGTTATTTGATACTGTTTCCCTGGTGATGGACTCTCCATTTGGACTACAAGCCAACAATTAGAAAACCCCTTTACCCACTCTTTGAGTAAAGACAACTTCCTACATGCTGTTTTCTGGATAGATGTCTGGGATCAAATTCACCTTATTTGCTATGCATACTTGCACAGTGGCTCAATTTCTGCCTAAGGCTGTGAAAGTCTTCCACAAAGTGTATTTCCTTGCAAACTTGTAATTGGAGTTTACCAAAAACATCTTCCATGAAAAAGGACAGTAGTTGTTCTTGGAGTCTGCAGTTTTTCTATAAATAAGATAGAATAAATTGCATAAGGTAAACTATGAGTAGCTTTCGTAAAATGACACTGAAGCATCCCCCGATGCTTCATGACCATCTGGAAAAAATAAAATGCAAGGAAATAAAAGCATCCAACAAGTAGAAACGTGAGAAAGAAAAAGACCCTCTGGCTTACCATAAATAGCTTTTTTGTTTTCTTTTTTAATAACTGTACTTTTTTTATGCGATCTTCCTACAATAAAACAAAGAGAAATAAGATTTATCCAGAATTTCAAACGTCCCTTTGGTCATCATTCTAAGCAGAGCCTAATACTTACTGGAATTGTTGCTTTGAGCCTTGCTGCCTTGACATAGAGCGTATCAACAGCTTGGGACAGTGTTCCCCTTGGGTAGCAACTTGCGGCGAAGGAATATTGCTTGTGCTTGGCAATGGCAAGAGACAGAGTGACAAACAGCAACCCAGACCTCAAAATGCAATACATCCACATTTCCCTCCACCCCACTCTGGGCTCATGTCACTCACGGAAGCCAGACAGTTCCTCGTGTTGGTTAGATGAGAGGATAACCTAGTTACTTTAGCCCTCAAGGTTGCCTCTCCAATGAGATGCTGTGAAAGATAACTTACAGTTTAGAGAGAGGAAGATCACTTCAGTTGTTCTATTTTCTTAGAGCTTGCTTCATAATCAAAAAACGCTGACCACATCATCTGTGATCTTAAGTAAAAGCACAAATTTACCAGTAAGGTTGGGGCCCCATTTCCCAAAAAGAATTCAGAACCTCCGCTGCGCTTCACAACAGATTTCAGTACTTTAAAAGTCATGTCATGCTAGTAAAAGAACTTGTTCTCCAGGATGCCATGTGATTTTTTTTTTTAAATATGAAAAAAATCTCCTTTTCTAACAAGTAGCCCAGGAAAATTTGACCAAAAGGTAGAATGAGCAGCCCTGGGAAACCTGCTCATGACCTCAAAGGGGTTTGACATTTAACCTTTGCCAGATCCTTCACCTGCCCCCCTCTTCCCTCAGAAGCCATCGTTCTGCAGCCTGGCATCAAGACCCAAGTCCTCAAGAATTTTTCCAGCTCGGAAATTGCAACCCCCCCCCAACATATTCAAGACTTTTTTGAACCTGGACCCGGGATTAAGACCTACAATTTAATAGGTTCTCTATCATCTCTGTCCTAGCTGACCACCCACACTTTTCCTTTAACTCTAGACTTCCAGGAGAGTGCCAACTCCTTACCTTTTCATCTTTGAATTCTCAGTGCCTACCACGATGCCTCATGTAAAGAAGAAGCATATTCAGCACTAGATGAATTGTACTTCCCTTCCCACATCATGAGATGCTACTATAACTGCTTTGTTTCTTCATTTATTCCATTAACAAATTTTTATCAAGGATCTGTCTACAAAGAACAGTGCTTGGTACCAGGGGACTATGTACGAAAGCAGGACTCCCATCCTCAACTCTGTCCCAATTCTTCCCATGGTGATAAATATGGTTCCTTTCGTGTAGCATCCCCAGGATAAGACGTGGACACAGCTCAGGATCATATACTGAGAAGCAGAGCTAAGTCACCAAAGCGCTGAATGAATGGAGCCAACATCATCCCAGGCAAGTTAACACGAGGACTCTGGTTGTGAGTAAGTGATTCATCAAAACTAGGCAGCGTCAATAAAGCATCAGAACCCAAGACTGATTTCTAAATCAAGGCAACCAGGGCTGGCAAAGGAGCAAAGAGAAAGTATAAAGTAAAAGGTCCAAACACATGGAAGTATTTTTGGCTGTTTCAGGTAATAAGCGGATCTCTTTGACAAGCCCAAGCGTCATTTCCACAGGAGCACCTCCGCTGATAAAGGACACTCCCTCTGAAATAAGACAGGAACCCTTCCTAAAGAGCTACGACAGAAGACAGCTGATCAAGACTGCAAAGTGAGGATCCCTGAAGTTTTATAGAAATTCGGGAAAAGGAAGAATTATTTTTAGCTGGGATTAGCTTAAAGGGTGTTGGAACTGGGACATGAAATATCCTAAGGTTTTTTGTTTTGTTTTGTTTTGAGCAGAGTAACACTTACTGTTCAGAGTTCTTTTAGACAAAAGAATGTGAACATCAGGAATCAAAAGTCCAAATGCCTTCAGTGGGCGTGGGATTAACATAAGATAAGCACCCTGAGTGGGTAGACATAGGACAATCAAGACTAAACTGCTTATATGGCCACCAAACCTAAAATCTGCCCAATTATACAGCCTATTAACACACTGTGTGGGTACAATAAAAGCACCACACAGAATACTTCCAGGAGCCATATACTGCCTTGAGCAACTAAAATTTGGGGGCCCCTGATATGTACCAACAAAATGTAAGTGCAACTCAAATTGCTAATATTGATAAAGAAAGTCAGTGTGGGTGCTGACTGTTTTTTCACCTCTGATAGTTGCATTTCCATAAATGTCTTATATCCCTCAAATCCTCATAATCCAAGGAAGACCATACACATCCCAAGGATGTTTCTGCTTCAGTTTACACCCAACTCAAGAAAACCGTGGTCTTTTCTTAAATGACTGAAGAGTATGTCGCCCCGTTGATCACAGTCATCCTACGCCTTAGTCAGCAGACCTGCCTCGTTAGGGTCCTTTAAACTGTCAAATCTCACCTCACAGGATGAATAGGGATTATCCTTTTGAATAGGATACTCAAAGCGCAGGCCCTGAAGACAATTCCAAAAGGGGGTTCCAAAAGTGTCCTGAATAACAGAACTATTGGAATAAGTACATAATGTCCTTCGGGCACCAATTTAAAAGAGAAGTTCCTGCTCATTTGGATCGATTTTTATTATACCACTTTCACAAGTTTCTTATCCAGAACTGTATAAAAATTGCTGTTAATTACAAGGAGATTTGGTTTTGAAACTCAAATCCACTTCTCATTAGTTGTATGGCCTTGGGAAAGTTACTAATCCTCTCTAAGCCTCAGTTTTTGTCATCATTAAACAGGACAGTAATTATACCTACTGCAGAGGGTTGTCATGAGCAAAAAATACAGCAATATAAATAGAACACTTAGCACGATGGCAGCCATAGTAGCACTCTGCAAGTGGTAGCTATTTCATTCTTATTCTTTAAACAATAAATGTGTCTTAGTCTGTTTAGGTGCTATAACAAAATACCAGACTGGGTAGCTTTCAAATAACAGAAATTGATTTCTCACAGTTCTTCAGGCTGGAAAGTCCAAGATCAACATGTCAGCATGGTCACATTCTAGGAAGGGTTCTCTTCTGGGTTGCAGACCACCAGCCTCTCACAGCATCCTGACATGGTGGGGCCTCTTCTATAAAGGCACGAATCCCATTCATAAGGGCTCTGCCTTCATGACCTAATCACCTCTCCAAAACACCATCACCTTGGGGTCTAGGTTTCAACATATGAACTGGGGGCAAGAGAGAAAAACACAAACATTCAGACCATAGCAAAATGCATGTGTAATACCTGTATAATATTCAAGTTCATTACAATCCTTGAGAAGCTTTGGGAAATGGTTGAAGAAAGCAAAAAAAGGGAAGGACGGGCAACGATCTGACATGTCACAGTGTGTGGGCTTGAGGAGCTCCATTTATCCCACACACATCCAGAAGGCAGACTAGAACCAATTAAGTGGGCATTTTAGGGCTGCGACTCCTATGTAATATACAGGAGAACATTCAAATGCTTTTTCTGCCCCAAAGCACAACTGACTGCCCCAGTTCCCAAATGCCAGCATGACAGCCATTGCCCTTGAAATTTAAGTCCCCTCCTACCCAGAAGAATGCTAGCAGCCCTCTCTGATGGTCAAGCACGTGCAAATAAGCAAAATGAGCACACCAGCTCACGCAGAGAATCACAGCTCACTTTGAGTCCTCGATGATACAACTTTGCAGATGCCCCTCTGTTGGAGGAAAAAACAATTGGGGATTTTTTTTTTTTTTTTTTTTTTTTTTTGTGGTACACGGGCCTCTCACCGCCGCGGCCTCCTCCATTAAGGAGCACAGGCTCCGGACACTCAGGCCCAGCGGGCACGGCTCACAGGCCCAGCCGCTCCGCGGCACGCGGGATCCTCCCGGTCCAGGGCACGAACCCGCGTCCCCTGCATCGGCAGGCGGACCCCCAACCACTGCGCCACCAGGGAAGCCCACAATTGGGGATTTTTAATTTGCTAAACCATTTTGTTGACTCTAAGATGCATTCCTTCCACACGTTAGTATCTCTGAAATCCCAGTCTGTTTCTTTTTTTAAAAAAAAACAAAATTCACATTTTATTTAGGTTGAAATAAGCTATACCAAATTGATTTTCTTCACCAAAAATAATGGCAATATTTTCTGCATTATTCCTAGATAAACCACAAAACATTTATTTTTGTAGTTTCTAGGTTTTGCTTGTAAATCAAGATGAGGCAGTAGATACAGTCATGGAAAAAGACAGAAGAAAACAGACAAACCGGTTGTCAGTATCCATGGCCTCTGATCCTGTCTTGACCATGAAACAGAAGCGTTCAACATATACCTGCCAAAAACCTTATGAAGATGAGGCTCAATAAAGGAATGTAAACAGCAACAACCAGATGTGGAACAACAATGGCAGGCTCTTCCTTTCAAACTTTAACTATAACTTGTTCCTTTAACTCCATTTGATAAAGACAAAATCTACACTGAAATCCTTGTTTGGCGAGCTCACATGTTTCTCTTACAGTCTGATAATTTTCTTAACTGTCCCTTACAGATTTTTAACAGCATACTTAAAACTCTACTATTCAAAGGTCAGTCATGAGCTTCATTGTAATGTTTTGTAAAATGTATTCCTTGCTCCCATACCTCCTCAAAATTTATTTCTTCAAAGAACCGATAATTCAGTACCTGACAACTAGATCCACAGTGATAAATGTTATGTGTAAAATGACTTAACTAATACAAGTCCAAAGTGCCATTAGCAGAGATCACACAGATCACACAGAAAGTAACGTGGTACTTTCAACGCTATCTTCTGGAAGAAGAGTTAGGTCTCCAAAGCATGGGACTTCAAACCGGCCATTTAAACAGGCAGATTATCAATGACTAATGTACTCAATGGGAGGCCTACAGGTCAAGATATTCAGTGATTAAGTGGCCTACGTACACCTTATAACTTTTCTGTAAGACAGTGTCAAATTTCTTACAGATTTTTTCAAATATCAAATATAAGAGAAAGCCTATTTTAAAAGTCTCTTAGGTATTTTCAGTGGTTTCTGAATTATCTGTAGGAAGCTCTGACTTACTTGTATAGAGTTTAATATATGTATCCACCATTAAATCCAAATTGTGTTTTATATCAAAATTTGTGTTAAGCGAAGCCAAGTTCCTTGACCTTTGGTCTGTCAAAGTGTTCCTCAGGTATGCTTTGAGACCCTTTCACCCATTTTCATAGAGTTCATTCTCAACCTTCATCACAGGAAGAATACATAGGACCTTCAGCAATGCATTAACTTTAGGAAAAATCTTGTTGTCTGGCAGATGA